TGATCTCACTATAATTATTCTCCCGAGATTTCGCTTACCGAGAAACCTACGATCCCCTCGCGTGCGAAATACCAGCGCGGATGTTGCTACGATATTGCAAACTTTCATGACGTTGTAGACTCGTTGCAACATCGTTCGTATCTCGCAATGCCGCTGCGCCATTTACCCGCGCACGTTGTATCGCGCATGTATCGTATAACCGCTGACAGAACGCATAAATCCCGCGGCATAATATGCTCGCGGCTCTTAACGAATTCTGTTCTTACGCTCGTCGATATCTCGCTACGAGCGATGAAATAATTCAAATTCGCAATATCACCGCAATTATGCCCGTCAAACCTGTTAGTGAGACATTAATACATAACGCAAATGGTCATAAATGTCAGTAGATATTTATCCGTAATGTTGCGTAAATGAAGTCTGATTGTCGACAAATCTATTTAGAAATGGCGCGTTCTCCGATCAATTTGTAATAGCAATAGTAATGTTCTATTGTACTCACAGCCGTTTTAAATTCATCATATTGCTGAAGAGAAGATCGGGCAGATGACGTATTTGATTATTATTTAGCCGTAGTTTTTCCACCGCCACCAAATCTTGGAAAGCCCCTCTTTCGATGGTGTGTATTTGATTGTTTGATAGTAATCTGTAAATTAAAAATATTTCCGTACGATATATAATATCAATAAAAAAGAATTATTGTAATATTATGATAATCAACACGAACTATTCTATATATTGTCTAATAGATTCATATCAAAATAATACGATATAAAAGTTAATATGTGACTATTGTATAATTTTGACATAGTTGAAACTCTTAATAATATTATATTAGTTGAAATTCTTAATATTCTAGATATTATTGTTTTAAATGTTATTAAGGAGAACTATAAAAATTAATGTAATTTAATAAAATATATTCGTTATTTACACTAGAAATAATGTTAAATGTACTAAGCAATTATTGTTGATGTTTATTTTTTAGATTAATATTATACATATATCTTTTGCAAAAAGTGATTCTGATTTCGACTTTTCAATAATTATGTAGGTATTTTATACTAATGAAATATTTAATTTTTCATCATTTTCTTTATCTTCATAGTTTATTTGCTTGATTTTTTTTAGTGCAGAGAAAGTAAGAAATGATGACACTTTTAGTGCTAATTTTAAATTAAGACAATCAAGAATATTTCTACTTACAAAACATGAAGCGTTGCCATGTCTTCAAAATCGGTCTTGAATATCACTGATACGTTATTTCCTTGAAGATCTCTGCAACAAGAAGAACAAAATAAATGTTAATATTTCAGTTCTTAACAAATAAAAAATAATAAATTAGTAACTTGATTAAGCACGCTCATTCATCGATAAATTATAATAAATAAAAATAAATTCGACATAAACATGTTATTTCACGTGTAATTATATTGTGCAGATAAATGTACTTAAAAAACTTTTGTTCCTAATATCCTATAATGTGATTTCATGCCACAAGATTCGTTGGCACACAATTCTATCGACTCAGCGAATGTTAGTTGTATCTACCCTTGACGCGAAATAAAAGCTGAACGCGTACGCGAGGAGTGAGAATGACGATGATCGCCGTTCTGCCAATAAAGGGTTATACTACTCCGTTACGAGGAAGCGTGAATTTACTCTTCATGTCAAAAAAGGAGAAGACTGTGAAGTAGCCGTCAAACACAGCCGTACGCCAAGCGTCTGCCTCCCTCGGGGAAGTTATTAAGGCCTTATTAAATTGGTTCCTTTTCCCGTGGAAACTTTTTACCTGACAAAAAGCTCGGGGTAAGAGCGAGTAACAAAGTCAGCCTACAAGCGCTTTCTCCTCTCAACACAGATTTCTTCTTTCTAGCCCGACAACCAGCGTAAATTATTCCCTCGTTTTCGTCTACTGACGTGTAATTCTTCACTGACGACAAAATGACGGAGTTATATTTCCGGAATCCACATCTTGTACATAGAATAAGCTTGTACGGACACTCGGTAAAATGTGATTTTTTTTTTCAAATCATTTGTCGCCAGTAGAGTAGTTCTGTTTTTATAGACGAACAATTAAAAATTCATATTATTCTATAAATTCTCTGATCACATAATCTTATATGACATTCTTATTTATTTTAATAAATACATTTTTATTAAATTAATTTAATTTTGATTACTTACATATATACATAGAATTTCGCGAATAAATATACTTGTAAATGGATATTTATTAAATATAATGCGACAGCAACAATAATTTGAGAAATTCTCGTAAAGGTATTTCAAAAAGAAAAGTTTGTTAAAAGTAGAAAAATCACTTCCGCTGAGTCGGTTGGGAGCTAGTTAATTATACTACCCCACGGTAATGACTATGAATACTTCCCGCTAACTCTATTAAGATATTAAGCGCCCTCCTTAATACGTTGCAGGTAATATCTAATTACGAATCATTATACTTGAAGGAAGCTGAAAATACCTCCCACGAGAGAAGCATGGCCAATCGCATTATGGAATCGAGGCCCATCGAACCTCGACGCATAATCCACTTTATCGCCGATTCGATTAATTCTCGACGGGATAAAACGGTGACGGCTACCCAGCGTCTAACGAGAGCTTTAGAAGCTACCTAACGAACGATGTCACTTTTCCTGTTATCGTTGTCACTACTTCCCATGGTTCTTTTGTCGAACGTCATTATGATGAACAAACAATGTCATCGCTAGAATAGCATTGTAATAATTTAGCTTCGGTTTTTACATTATATAAAGATATAAAGATAGATGATTAAAATTATTTTTACAATATTCATTACAAACTTTTTTAATTTATAAAATAGTTTATATTGTCTTTTTTTGTAATAACGCGAGCTCATTTTATCACTACGATGATCGAATGCAAGTACAACAGAAGTTTAAACCGCGTTGCCTTTTCCTCATAATTACCGCGATCATTCAAAGTCGTTGACAACATTCTCCATGGCGAAATATCGTTGATTCATGAACCAACCGCCAACTCGTAGAATAAGACAGAAACTTGGCGTGTGCCGTTTGCACGACGGATTTGCGCTTCTAGGAACGTTAATGTAGCCTTTCGCGAAGACTCCGTCATCTTATGTGATGTTACGCTCAATTAAAATAGCGCGGCGTCTTCTCGGAAAGTAATAACGGCAATCGTTCGGATAATCGTTTGCATGGAAAACCTTTGCCCAGCGAACTGAATGGAGAAGTATCTGAATGAGGATCGGTCGCTTAAAGATCGATAATTTCGATTCGTCATTGTAACGAGACAAAATTTCGCAATATATTTTGTGTTTATTCTGTAAATATCCATTGTTCTATCGATAAAGAAATATTTGCCAGATGTCACTTAAAGTTAATGTTAATTTACGTACCTTTCTCGAGGTAAAATAAAACAACCATTTCTTTTTTTTTCACACAACGTATACATGAACAGCGATAGTCATTTAAAATTATAATGTCTACGTAATTAAAGTTTAATAGTGTAATTAAAAAAACCTTTGAACTCGAGCATTGAAAAGCCATTTAAAATACAACGATAAATTGATACAGTTTCGAATTGCTAAATAAAATAGGATTGCATGGCAATACATGAACACAAAGGTCTCTAAAACGTGACTCGTGTGGTAAATTAGATGTCATCAATAAAATGAATCATTAAATGAAGATAAATTGTTGTCTCAAATATCCAAACAATGATGAGAGTAACATTTGTTATATACTGAAAAAAGAATCCGATTGCAATTGGAATTCTGGTTAAAAATAGACAAATCAAACTTTTCTGGTTGAATGTATAATAATTCTAGTTGAGATAATCAGAATTCTGATTGATATGATCAGAATTTTCTGATTCGTTCATTTTCAACAAGAAATTTTTCTCTGTAGAGCTTGATCTAACAAAAATGGAATATATATAATTACGAAAGAAATTAAATAAGTCCGACATGCTGATAGATCCACAGCTGCAATGACTGACTATCGACGCGTTTTTACAATTTGATTTATAAATCTCATTATTGATTCGATTCGATCATCAGAAGTCCAATAGCATTCTGGAAGGCACAATTTTCATCTTGCACTTTTGCCAGGCGACTCACGTAGCAGCTAATGAAATTACATTTCGCGTCGCCAACCGGGACATTCGCTAAATACGTTTCCATGAGTTTTCGCAAAGGAGGGAGCAGAAGAGACGCGAGATGGGAGGAAGAGTACTTGACGGTGGTAAATCTGATGGGACGGACGATGGTGAGAATCTGAAGGAATAGAAGGGGCAGTCAGAGTGTGACGGACTTGGTAGACAACGTCCAAGAATAAGGTGTTGGTGGTGCGTGTCTATATTTGAGTTGCGGTGGGATGAGAAGACAGGGGAGACGAGAGGGAGGATAGGCTGCTGGCAGATGTAATCAAAGTTTGCAGACAACCGCCCCGAACAAGAGGAACACAACGAGGGAAAGGAATACAGGGAATACCGCCGTGGGATCGACCGGATATCCGGTCGTATCTCACACGCGGCACTGCGCGTCGCGGTATGTCGATACGCCTGCTTAATGTCGTAGAAATGTCTCCGGCGGAGATAAGGGAGAGAATCGAGCCGCGACAAGGTGAGATGAGTCTATGGGGAGGATTGGATACTGATGCGAGTCTCGATTTTCTCGCGAGCAGAGCTGTTCGCTCCGTCTTCCCGCCGGGGATCTGGGAATCGAATGATTTATGGGTAGTGATTATATTCAGACTTCGCGTGCGCTCGTACTGGTATCACGTGTTTGTACGTGTAACTGCTAGGAAATATCGCGACGTAATCCTCCATTTACTATACGCGCGCCGGATGTTTGGTAGATGCAAAATAATTCATCGATCGCGACGTAATATTGACAGTTAACGATGATAGTTTGCCACGAGCAAAGTCTTATTAGTTTTCAATTTCAATTTATCTGATTCAGTTTGATTATATGATTATCAATGATATTTATGCTAAGAAAATTAACACGTATGCTATCATACATTTTTATACACATAACTCATAATTATGACTTCAATTTAGAATATAAAATGTGGAATTTAAAAAATATAATATTTAACATAGAATTATTTAAAACATTCAATTAATTTCTTTAATATATTCCAGATATACATAATTGCATCACAATAAATAAAACTAAATAATATTTTTGAAATATAACTTGTTTATGATAAACTTTTTTTTTCAAATATGGTTATGCTGACAGAAGTGTCAGAAATTAAATTAAACTAAATTAAAATAAAATTAAGTTTTTTTAAATTTATTACCTTTTATACCTGTATATAATAATTTGTAACCTTTATATAATAGCATTAAATACTTAAAAATATTGATGACAGGGAGCGTGAAAGAGGGGGGGGGGAGAGGAGAGAGAAAGAGAGGGGAGAGAGAGAGAGAGAAAGAGAGAGAGAGAGAGAGAGAGAGAGAGAGAGAGAGAGAGAGAGAGAGAG